GTGTGTGTGTGTGTTCACCAGCAGTGATGAGTTTTAGACAGAAAGTATAAAAAGTTTTTCCTCTAAAGGTCGATGTAATCTGATTACCTCCATTACTTCCTGAGTAAAGTAACTGAGCGGCTGCTGTTGAGTCATGAGTGAAAAGTTTGTGTTTTTATTTGTTAACGTCAGATTCTCGTGTTCGATGTTTGACTGGAACCAGTTTTAACCACGTGACGACGATGGAAGAAGAGAAGTCGGAGTCATGTTCGGGTCAGAGCGACAGTCTGGAGGTCAGAGGTCGTTTTTTTCCAGAGTGTCATTCCGAGCGAGCCACTAAATATACGCCCAGGTGGATGATGGGAAACCCTGAGCGGGGATTCCTTCCTGTTTTTGGGCAAACCCTCCGCAGGGCTTCCCCTTCGACCTTCAGCACCATCAGACTCACAGAACCCTGCCCCCACAGCAGCAAAGCACCACAGGCCACACCCTCCAGTCATGTATTCATCCAACACACACTGACGAGAACACAAGCACATTTCTGAACTGGTCTGAATTTAAATCTGGTTTCAAAATGAAAACTGGTTCCAGTTTATTTAGCTCTGTTCACACTGAACTGAAACTGGTTTCAAAATCTGAAAATCTGAACCTGATCAAACACTAATCTGGATCTGGTCTAAAACTGTCCTCCACTGAACTCAACTGGTTTCAGACGGAAACCATGACAACCAGGTGTAACGTGGTTAGATGTGACGTCATCGTACCAGCTCCACGCGTCCGAATCCTCCAACTCCCAGCGTGTCGATGATGTTGAAGTCCTTCAGCTTCAGGCTGGAGAAGAAGACATTCTCCGCCTCGTATCTGAAAACACAAAACACAGGAGTGACCTTATGACGACGTTATGACGAGCATCTGAGCGAGAACAGGTTCCGTATCGACTCGTCCAACGTCTTTAAACGCTCGGTCGTACCTGCAGCATTTGACCACGTGGAAGAACGGGAACTTCTTGGAGGTTTGGATGGAGAAAGAGGTGATGGAGGAGGTCGGAGGAGCAGGGAGGCTGGTGAGTCGCTCTCTCTGCCGCCTCACTGGGATGGGAAGCAACTCCCTCATGTCCGAACTTCAATCTGAGCGTTCAGGAGACGACAGATCGGACAAACTTTCTGTCTTCTCTAAACTCAGACGCTTCGTTCGTCTAATTCATCACCAAAGAACTTGTAGAAAAAAATTCTGAAACATGAAACTTCTTCAGGAATGTAGAGTCTGGTAAAATTTTCTGGGTCAAAACCAACCACATGAGCTTTAAACTGGAATTCTGACGTTTGAGTCCTTTATTTTTGCAGAGAAACATCAATCACTTCCTTAAGATTAAACCCGAACGAGTCGGATCCTCACGAAAAAGTTCTGCACAGCGTCCGAAGAAGAGCCGTCTCAAAGGAAGAGCTCCAGTTCACATGATGAGGGCGGCGGCAGAGCTCGGCTGTGCTCTGCTCGTACCAGCGGTGCGGTGAAGTTTCCTGATCCTCCAGCTCTGTGTTAAAGCTCTACAGTTAAAACCAGGCAGCAGGACGTCGTCAGAATCCAGAAGAGACGAAATCCAGACAGCGAATCATCACGCAAACAGAAAGTCGCAGCTTGTTCCAGGGCACAAACTTTTATTTTACCTCTGAAGACCAAATTCTGTTTCTGCAGTAAAACTGAAACTGCGACGAGGAAAGGCCGTCCACGTCTGGTTGGAGCGAGTCCTGGTGTGAAGTCAACCTGAGAAGACGAGGACGCCGCTGGTATTTTTAGCACATGGAAACATTGCTGAGAGGTTCACCCTTAGCACAGCTCTGCCATCAAACAGACTGAAAGACAGAAGGAGGACAAACTGTCCCCAGTTCACAACCAGACGTCTCAACTTCAGAGGTCAGCAGGATGTTCAGGACGGTTCCCTGGTTCCTCTTCATCTGTTCAACATCCATCAACTGGACTCATCCATCAACTGGACTCATCCATCAACTGGACTCATCCATCAACTGGACTCATTAGTTTGAGCATCGGTTCAATGTTTCTATTTCAAAGGATCTTTATTTAAACAAAGAAAGATTTTTAAACATTCATTGTTTTCATAACATGATCAAAACAACCTCACGTTCTGTTGTCCAGCTTCTCAGATTGTTCTTCATCACGTTTACACAACTGATTTACAAACACTCATATGTTAGATGTTGTGTTTACGACTCTAGAATCCAATATTATCCGTCTGTCGTGTAAACAAGTCAAAAGTGTGAATTCACTTTTATAAATCTGCACTTTAACATAAAGTATTCTATTTGTACTGTTTATATTGTATACGTTTTATTAAATTTTCACTGTTAATGTTCAATCTGCTCAGTTCTGCACAGTCCTCGCCTCATTCACCTCATTCGCCTTGTTTTTAAACATGCTCATATCCTTTTTGGATTTTATGTCAATATTGTATTTTAATGTAAATTTTGGTCGGCTGGTATTCCAGAAAGGACAGCACAAGAATCTCAATTCACAGGGAAACGTGTGTTCTCGTGTGTATTTGACTATAAAAATCTTTGAATCTCAAAACTTTTCTGCTTTTATTTTGACAATTTGTTGTGGATTTGTTGGATTTTTCTTTATTTGTTGCTTGTTGTTGTTGTTTTGATATAATTTTTAGAAATAAATTTGTGTTCTTGTTTGTGAGCTAAACTTTTCTGTGGATCATCTTCCCCCCCGGAGTCTGATGTCAAGATGAAATCCTGACACATGTTATGGTTGTGATCTCAACCAGCAAACATCTGAAAACAGGGACAGGACTATTTCCTGGAATCAGACCTCAGCAGAAACAGAAGCCGCTGCCGTCGGTTGAGAACGACTCATAAACACGCTAAATATAGTTTGTGACAGTGAGGAGGAGATTGACTGGAGCTCAGAGCAGAGCTCCAATCTTCAGACCTTCACCCTGCCCAAGTGCCGCTGAGCAAAACACTCCCACATGAAGGGCATGATGGGAAATATCAGTCGTATGAAGGAAACTTTATTCTAGACAATTTCTTTAAATAAAACATTTGTCAGCGTCAAGATGAAAACATTATTTTCTTTAAAAAAAACTGGTACGATGAAAAAAGAAAAAGATTAATAATAAGAAGAAGAAAGTGTGTGTGTGTGCGTGTGTGTGTGTGTGTGTGTGTGTGTGTGTGTGTGTGTGTGTGTGTGTGTGTGTGTGTGTGTGTGTGTGTGTGTGTGTGTG